CATTACACAGAGGTGTAAAGAGTACTAAAATATTGTAAAAATACTCTTATTTATAGGTCTACTTATTTAATTAAATCACAGTCTTTTGCGATTTGATAAGGGCACAAAGCCAGATTTTAGTTCATTTGACAGATACACAACATGTGATATACTGGACTATATATGAAGTCATATCCTTATTTAGGCTACATTAGTCAGACTTCATAGGCATAACAGCATAATTATAGTTTTTAATTAACATAGGCCTATTATGATAGCATAATTAATTAGTTACCAGCAGGGTGCTACTGCCACCCAACATTAGCAGTGTGATGCAGCCATGTCTTTTTGCCATTGATTTCTGTTTTTTCGTATCATCATGGATTATGCATAAAATGAGGAGCGTCGGGTTTCATGCAGCCAGAGGTAACGATCACCGATTGTCCGCAGCACGTCGGGCCACTGTGCGACCTCCTCTCCCCGGCTCTGTCCACTCCCTCTTGCTGCGGATGGTTGATTATAGTTCTCTCTGGCTGGATGAAGCCCAACGTTCCTGATTTTATGCATGATCCATGTGCTACTGAAGCTGGCGACGTTTTGCAGCACGAGTCACAGTCAGTTCTGCCTTTTAGGTACGTGCAAAAAGGAATTTTTTCAAGTAATGGCTTGATTTAAAATGTATATATGTATATAATACTTCAAACAGAACATACTTAAGTAAAAGTAAAATTACAGATTATAAAAACAACTTAAAAAAGTACAAGTGCACTACTACTAAACTACTCAATTACTATTACTGTTCTTTATGCATGACTTGCCGTCTTATGACAAGAGTCTTGAAGTCGTGGCGTTCACACTACGTGACTGATCGTTGACAGGGGGTCACACACTACACGAGCTGACAACAACTCTGTCACCTGACCGCTGGGCTCGAAACCACGTTTTGTCAAGTAAACACAGGTGAAATGGGAAATGGCGCGAAACTACACACGAAACAGCTGTTGTTTGTTATTACAAAGATAGCAATTATAAAGACAAAGAAGATGGATGAAAAAATGTATTAGCACATGCAGTTAGCTGTGCTACAGAGAGAGCTGGAGGTGAGTAAAAGTTTTTGTAGTTGCCTGCTCTCATTGGCTGGATGTGGATGTTCAGTCGCTGCCTCCTCCAGATATTTGGCAAGCTAGATATCTGGCTGGTGTCGGCGATGTGTCAGCGATGCGTTTTGATGCGTCGTTGAGTAGTTCACACATAACGACTGTTACATTACAGCCACCAATAACATTTTGATTCAAGACAAGACTTGGTTCTTTAAAGGTCCCATTTTATGCAGAATCCACTTTTTTATGTCTTTTCAACCAAAATATCTGTACCTGTTGTGTCTGAAGACCCCCAAACTTTACAATTACCAAGATATGGTCAAACGCTGTTCCTGGGGCACTTGTAATAGTTACAGTCGCTACCCAGAGAGGTTGAAAGGAGAAGTAGGATTTTTGCAAACCTTTCTGCTTCTTTCTGAGATCGCTTTTTCATTTTTCCAAAAATAAGAACATTTCTTCAGGGAGTGCAGTTATAGACTGTGGCAGTGCCATGCGAAGTATGACAGGTCCCACAGTTTGTCGAACTAAGCAACAGTAACTCAGGGGGGCTTGTCTTCACAAAGGGCACTGGATAGCTATTTTGTATTGGTAATACACCTGTTGTGAAATACCTGGTGTCAATAAAAAAATACCCCCCAAAAATGTCTTATCCTCTGTGTTTGCTTAAATTTGTTTGTGTCTAATAAAGAACCTATTATTTCTCTGGTTCTAGCATGAGTAATACTTTGTTACTGTGCATATAAACAGCACCATTGACTGTTCTCTGAAGACATACAGTTAATTGTTGAACAACAAGCAAAATGAACACACTGGTTTGTTGAACATATTACCTTAACGTTTGATGTTTTGAAATTCCTGGACAGCTCAATGCACTCTAATCATAATATGCTAGCACTGGGTCTGTTTCATTTGAAAATAGAGCAAAGGTTAACTAACTCACCTTAGTTACACAGGCATGCAGAGATTTCCATCAGAGGAAGTGTATTTAGGGCAAAGGTCTCCATGAAAAATAAAAAAACTTTACTTATAGATACAATACTTATTTAGTCAAATATGTATATTTCTTACCAAATAAAGTAACATGTTCCAGATGCAGGTTACTTACATGAATAAATGCATAAGTAATTTTTGTAAGCTAAACTTATCTTATCAGAGCATTGTCTTATTTTGTTTTCCAAAAGACTGCAAGCCAATCTGAACAATAAACACAAATGAACAATGGTAATAATATTCAGTATGTGTTTGTGAAATTTGTAAATTTACAAGCAGAGTTGAAAGTTGCTGCTGGTTATCTGAGCATGATCTGTGAATTTGACTGTAAATTCAGCATCTGCTGAGACACACATAGTGCTCAGTGGACTCCTCTAAAGCAAAGCTGTGTTGATGTATATTGGGAGCCAAATCATTAATCAGTTTTGTGGTTGGATTGAGAAGAACAAATGCAGTAAGATGATCTGTCAGCACCAGGCAGCTGCACTCTCTTTTTCCCGCTGCTTTCCACCAGAAACCTGTCTCTCCACTGTCACCTTACCTCACAGGCCTCATAAATCATTCAGCAGGCCATTGAAAGTTATGCAGACTAACTAGCCCACTACTTACCTCACAGCTCTGTCTACCTACAGACAGGCCAGGTTATGTGTGCAGAACAACATCAGACAGGAGACATTTATCAAGAGAGTGAGGTTGCTGCAGAATCTTCACAACTACTTTCTAGGCTTTGACCGAAACAAAGCAGGCAACCAAGAGACTATTTACAGATCCTGGATGAAGAATGAAACATTTCTGGAAAAGAGCTGAGTTACATGTGCACTTATCTTTTATTATCAGGAGGTGGACATATTAACCATGCTAAGGACATACAGATGCAAGAGTTTCATGTGCATGTGGTGGCTGAGGACTGTGCTCCTTACTCTGGTTCATGGAGACAACTTCAGTCAACAGTTCCAGGAGAGGCCGTCCTGCCATTCAGGTAGGCTGTCCTGACTGCACACAATGATCTTTTGATAACATGACAAAAAATGAACTGGAATATGATCCATACATCCATACCATCAGAGCAACATTATGTTATAAGATTTTTCTGCAAATAGTAGAGGTTTTATTTTCCTGGAATTGCCACTAACAGGTATATGCAGTCCTTATCCCATCAGCTTTTGTCTTTTTGTAAATGTTTTTAGTGAATTTTACATCTGCTATAATCATCAAATAAAATTATTTGTCAGAACATAACATTTTTCCCAATAGGTTTCTACTGCCCTTTGGGGAGCGTCACTCAAGTCCCCTGTCCTAAGGGAACATATGGGCCAACTGCTGGTGCTCTGTCCATAGACAGTTGTCTGAAGTGTCCTCCTCACCACTACTGTCCTAGACCAGGCCTGTCTGCCTGTCTGCCCTGTGGCCCTGTGGCTCAGCAGCCTCTATCTGGTCAGGAAACATGTGTCTGCCCAGAAGAGGGACAAAGTTTCCAGGTGACACAATTTAGGATTAACCCAGTCATTCTTGCAGCATGCGTGTTCCCCCGGTGCGCTTATGTGACTGTGTGGTTCTTGTTTTCATATCAACAACATTGCTTCCTACTTGCCACCCACTTACTTCTTGGTCCTGTGAGCTCCTTCTTTATTCGATAAATTCAAAGAAAAACTTTAAATGTATCAAGCCTATTTGATTTATTTTGTGTCTCTTTTAAGTCCTTGAATACATTTTGTACTCTAATATGAGAGTAGCCTCCTCACTGTCTCTCAGAAACTTTAGACTGAACAATCTGTAGCTTCAAGCTGAAAGAGCTCTAGATCAAGTTCCCTCACAGCAGGGTCTTGTTTCCTGGTCTGCTGCAGCTTGCACAGGTGTTGAGCCCTCTGCTCAACAGCTCATAATAAAGTGAATGAGATTTTTTTCTCTGACTGTGGCATGGGTGTTAGTGTGAGAACTAATGTCAAATGAATGACTAAATTAATAAAAAACAGAAGAAAGGAAGGAAGAAAAAACAGACAAGACATGAAGGAATCGATGACAGAAGGAAGCAAGGAAGAAAGAAAGAGGGAAGGAAGGATGGACAGACACGAGAGAATCAAAAAGGAAGGGACGAAGGAGGGAAGGAAGGTGGGAGGAAGGAAGAGAGGAAGGAAAAACTGATGGAAGAACCAATGAAGGAAGGAAGTAGGGTAAAACATAAAGGAACCAATGACTGAAGGAAAGAAGGAAGGAATGGTGGAAGAAAGGAAAAAGCGATGGAGGGACTAATAAAGCAAGGAAAGAAGGAACAACAGATGAAGGAATCAATGAAGGAATGAATGAAGGAAGGAAGATAGATAGATAGATGTGTTTTGACAGGCTTTGCCAGTGAATGAATGACCAAATTGGCATATTAGGTAACAGTGTGACCACAAAGTGAACTGTTTGTAGCATTTTAAAACACTGCTGCCTTTCCTGCAGACCAGTGATGGGCGATGCCACTGTACCAGTGGCTACCAACCTTCCAACAATGGAGATGCATGTGTACACAAACTGTACAATGTCTGCAGAGACGGAAAAACAAGAACACAGTATGGAGACTGTCTGGACAGACATCAGTGGTCACTTCACTGCAGGCAGCAGGTTAGACCTTGTGCAACTAATCACACGCAGATGCACACACTAAAGTAGAGCAAAGGTTATTGGCTTGTCTTTCACAGACAGGTACTTGATGCCTCTTGAAGATCTGTTTAAATAATGCGTGGGGATTTAGATAGAGACACAAGTTGTCATCTGTTTACAGAACAAACTGAAAAAACACACTCTACAAGCATAGCCAAGGTTAATGAATATAACCTAGATGTCTTTGCCCTTTCCACCATGAACCTGACAGTAGTTTATCTAGTTTAACCATAAACCGCTTCCTCTGACTGTCGGTTTGCCATCACTGTTCCCCCCACCCAGTGTTTATTTTTACACACTCAAACCGAGCATATAATACACACAGACAAAGATGGTACAAGCAGAGAAAAACTAACTAATATTTGCATGGTTTCAAAAAGGATTAGAGTTGACTAATAAAGCCTTTAGCTGATCCTAACTTTGTATTGATTACTTTCCTCCAGGTGTGTCAATCTGAAGAGGACTACAGAGGTTACGACGGAGAGCTGGGTCTGTGTGTTTGCAGAGAGCCTCCTGGAAGAGCTGCATGTGGGGGCCTATGCAGGCGAAGGCCGGATACTGAGTTGAAGCTCCAGTGCCAGCCCAATGGAGAAATGGAGCTGCTGTTGAGACATGACAGCCAAGTGAGCAATGGCACCAGCAGATGTACATAAACGCACACAGACACAAACATATTGATGCAAAAAAGAATGCACACTTTTTGGTATTTCGGGTAAGAAATTTTCTGCCTACTCATGACATCCATACCCATATCCATGTACTGTAGCTTCTCCATTGAAATTTGAGCCTTATCAGACAATGCACACAAAACCCTCATACAATGTCATCTTTATTGCACCTGGAGTCAAAGCATAAGTGTCTCTTGTGTTGCAGTGACCTATTAATGGCAAACATTGTCATTGTGTGTGCACAGGTGTTAGGCATCTCAGGCAGCATGTTAGAGACGATTTTTAAACAGTGGGACTCTCAGGGGACTCTTTTGTGCAACAGCCACCTCAACTCCTTCCATCCTGTCCACATTGTTCAGACAACAGGTGGAGACACACACTTTCACACAATACACAAAGTGACTTTCTGTCTGGCTCTCTCTTTCTCTGTTTGTCTCTCACATCCTCCTCTCTTTTGTCATCTGATTGCAGAGGCAGGCTTTCTTGGCCTCCTCAGCGGGCTCCCAAAGGAACTTCAGCAACTGTTTCCTTTCACCACACAGCGGGACACTCAGAGCTCAGCTGGTTTGTCACAACAAAACAACATTATTGATCATAAATGCACAAATGTGAATACATGATCCCTTTTACATAATGAATCATTACTACAATGATGTGTGCCATTGTTTTTTAGAAAGAGATTCTGACGTTTTGTGGGAGGTCACCAATATTGAAACTATAAGTCATGGAGTTGGAGAAATGAACAGCAGGAAGGTAAACCAGAGTGATGTCAAGGAACAAGTGAGAGAAGCAAGTGTAACTGGAGTTCTGAACCCCACAACGTGTCTCCATTTGGGTGATGTTATACTGTTCACTGTCGACACACGTCACTATCCTCAGTATGATGTGTAAGTCAGATGCTAGGTATACATGTTTCATCCATTTTTAATGCTTTGAATCGAAGTTTTGACGTGCTTTACACTTGCCCTTAATCCTTACTTCACGTCTTTCAGTGACAACTTGTACAACACAAACAGTGACTTTGACTGGGGTGCATTCAGACAGCTAAAAGAAGAGCTGAGTCTGTCTTGGACTCCTCCCAGCTTCTTCTCGGTGGTCTTTAGCCAGCCTGGAGTATATGTTTTTACACTGAGCAACCATCAGCACAAACACTTGGTAACTAAATTAAAAACAATATATGCAAACATGTCGTGGGGGGGGGGTGTCACAGAAACTGACCCCACAATTTTGTTCTTACACAGTATGTGCGGGTGATACCTGCAGGCGGCCAGTGTTATGAGCCTGGCCCCTTCTTCCCTACCAACCCTCGTCATATGAGTAGGGTGGGAATCAGTAGGAGACGCAACTTGCTACTGAGGCCAGATTGGCTGGTGACCGGAGGACTGCTATTTGGAGCTGTGGTCATCCTCTGTTTATGTGTTACACTGCTGGTTAGTGCATATACACAAACACATACTATCACGTTAAAAATAAATCAGAACTTACATAAACCTATCCCGTGTGTAGATCCTGTTCCGTGAATATGGATGGCCCGAGAAGGAGCCAATCAGAGCGCAGTATCGCTTGTTGCAGTTGGCCTACCACATGGACGACTACTCATCAAAAGGTTCAAGGGTGATCTCACTTAAAAAGATTCACCGAAACCAACAAGCTAGAATGAGACAAGACTCCAATCTACCAGGTGCAATATAGTATCAGTAAAGACACACGCACACACAAACATGCACGCATATGAACGCTCAGCTCATTGATTTGAAAGCCTAAAGGCCAAAATGTTATGTAACTTGCATTTAAAGATGATTAGCAACACGTCAACAAATGCACACACAAATACACATGCATGCGCACGCACGCACGCACACACACACACACACACACACATACTGACACTTTAGTTAGTCTTTGAAGTCTCTTGTGGCTTCTTATGTAACACTGACAGTGACCCCTGGGTGTTGCTCCCATCCAACCAATTACTGTTGAAAAGGCTCTTGTCATATACTTGATATCATGTGCAGTGACTGTGAAAAGACTGCATTTCAAATTTATTTTCTTGAGACTTGAGACATTAGTGACTGCATGTAATGACTGCAGGGGTCACTGCAAGTATTTAACCTTGCTACATAGAGTTATTTGTCATTTGACTGTTCAAAAGAGTCAAAATAAGGCATATTTGTTAAAAAAGAACATATAAAATGTTACCCTTGTGCCAGTTCTTTAGAAAATGCCTTGGCCCCACAAAAAAAGGCCATCCAAAATGGCCCAGGGAGAAACAAGTAGAAACTGCTCAGGCAGCACATGTTCACTCTTAGAAGTTCAAGATAAGACTTAATGTGTTTTTTATATTCTACTGATCTCACTCTCTGTCTCCTTTTGTGTTTCACTCTCTTGGTTGCAGTCTGTGCAGACGCCTTGGAGGATTTCTGGGATTATGAACACCAGGTGGATCTGGAGGCATTCAGCAGCAACACCTTCTACAGTCTCCTGCTCAAACAGAGTCTATCTGTCACCACACGGCTGGGACTGCTCACCACAGAAGTATGTAGTTCTTAGTTTAAAAACAAAATAAACACTAAATTGATATGTCCCCTTTTTTCCATCACACACACTCTGATGCATGTACTTATTTTCTCTGAGAAAGTATTGCCCCTTGGACTGTTTCCCACACACATGAAATGATGCTTGAATATCCTATATTACACATGCTCACATTATTGTTTTATGAAGTGTTTATGAATAGTTAATTCAGTAGGAGGCCTCAGGCAACTGTTTTTATAATACAGCTACTTTCCCACTGGTAGGGAAACATCCTACAAACATCACATCACCTAAATTCTGAAACCTGTTTTACACATTCATGTTCAAATCTTAAATCAAAGTTCTACATTTTTCGGAATATGCGTCTTCAATTTCTTGCTGAGCATTTTATATTTAACATGACATCGACATCCACCGCAGGATATGGATGAGTAGAGATCCACCATGGATAAATTCTCTTGTAATTTGAACAGTACCATGGACATTCAGGATAAGCTGAGGGCCATAACTACTTTTCAAAAGACAATAAACCTGCAACCTTCAGCCTGTATCCCAGTATGCTAGCCACCACTATGCTATGACGGCACATCACTGCCAAAAACTGAGGAGAAGAAAAGAGATCTCGTGAGAGCAATATTGTAACCTGTGAGGAAAAAATGAACCAAGCAGGTTAAAGTTCTGGGAGCAGCAGTGCAAGAACATGTACTTTGAATTCTGCACTCGCATAAAGCAAAATATTGTGTGCAGAGAAATTCTACACGCAAAAGTAATGTGCAGCTGCATGTGGATCACATTTGCGCTCGCACTGATCTCTTTTCCTCTCACAGTTTTTTGGCAGTTATGTGCCTTCATAGATAGCCATCAGTCTGCACCTCGGCCTGCTAGCCTACAGCCTGCTAGCTTCCAGTAGGATGACCATACGTCCTGTTTTTCCCTGACAGGTCCTCTTTTTGGGACCTAAAAGCGTTTGCATAAAGTTGCTTATCAAGGTCACTTTTTGTGAACTGACCACTCACAGCCTGGATGGGACATAAAAAAAGGTTGACACGCTACAACAAATTTTCAAAATGTTGAACTCGTTCTGCATGAATGGTTCTGAATATTGACAAGTTAGCAGCATTAACACATTAGAGACTAAACACCGTATAGATAATTTTTCTTGCATAAGGATTTACAAAATTAAAACTATGTAGGCTACCATAATGAAACTGCAGTTGAATTGTTAAATACCAATAAGCTGTTGAAATCTTACAATAAGCCTACTATAAACAATATTTAGGTAGACATAAGCCAAATAAAATGTAACCTATAAATATATTAGTATTAAACTAAAAAACTTTTTATGCTGCTAGCATAGCGCCTGATCTCTAGTTGTTCAGGCCCAGGTTTTTAAGACTGCAGCCAACCTCCTGGACTTCTCACACTGATGATTATCAGGAGTGTCCTTTCTGTGGGACCTTTCAAACTTTCAAGACAGCCCCCACTAGAACACAATGCCCCCGATGACATTGAGGTTCTCTGTTGTCCAGGTCCCTGGTGTCTCTTCTGCTAGACCTTACTCTAAATCCAGACAAGCTCCGGGCCTGTGCTGCAGCAATCTGCTGTTCCTGTGCTGCAGCTGTGCCCATTGTATTGCTGCAACCTCCAGCTTCCCTGGCTCCACTGGATCACCTACCGGACTCTCGGTTGTCGCCAGTCTCCAGTCCTGCTGCCTCGACACAGGAGACACCTGTGTCTAGTATATCCTCCCCTAACTTGTGTGACGGCCCCTGTGTGGTTCTGGCCACTCTGTGGGGAGTAATACCTCACTGTTCTTAACCATCTTTGTTTTGTTTACATGAACTTCACTGTCTTCTCTTCTCCGCAACTCAGACGTCGACCATAGCCTGGTCAACCCAACTGCCATATTTTGTTTTGGTTTATTTACTTTACAGAGACACATAACTTACATTTAAATAGTTATGTTTAGTTTACACTTTAGTTAAATAAAGCACTTTTGATCATTTACGCTGCCTCGTTCCCTCTTTTGTCATGGACCTTGAGCCAGGTTGTGACACTTATGTATTTGTGTCATTGCCAGTTTGTCTTGTTCAATGTATTAAGCGGTCCAGCCATTTCTTGTGCTTTCCTGGTGTTTGGACTGTTACATTGTTTTTATGTGGAGTTTGGATTTTGCCTGCTACCTTGTAGATTTGTTTGCCTGTTTTGACTGCAATCCTGGTTTTGACCCTTGTCTGCCTCACCTTCACGTAAGCCTGTGTACCTTTTGATTTAATCATTAAATACCATTGAACTGCACCTGCTCTGCCCCAGTGTGTGGATATATCCAATCCCTTATGTTCGTGTTCCCCAACACACTGTTACAGCATTATGTTCTTATTTAGTGTTTCTTTGTTTTTTTTTTAATCATCTCAGCATCAGACTGAGATGCCATTGTTTGAAGGTACACACTGTAGTTAGGACTAGTAAACACTTTGTTTGCAAGATTGCAAGATGGTTAGTCTACTTCACATACCCTTATTTTTCACTAGCATTGGTTGGCTCATTTTAATCTGCTAGTGTTCCCTCTCCACAAGTTTATCTAATTGAAACCGATTGGGTGTTGCGTCGGAATGCCTCTGTTTTTTGTTGCACCACTCTCTCTCTGACATCGTTCTGGTTTATACCATCAAACTGTTGGCTGCAGTGTGAGATACAGAGGTTGTTGTTACAGCCCTTAGGACAGCTGAGGCGATAAGGATGTAAGGGGAGATGGCACATCTGAGATGACACCCTGTGTCATCCCACAAATGTGCATGTCTCACTTGTGCCAGCTTCATTGAGATGGGGTCAGATGTGTGATCTTATTACTACCAATTTACGAAGACACCGTTTGTGTGTCAGTAATTTTATTTTCATGTACGTATGTGTCTGTGCGTATCCAGGTAAAGGAGCTATACCAGGGAATTCTTGGGAAACTGCAGCTACTTCACCCACGCTTGATCACTGAGGAGAGGATGGGGGAGGGTTATGAGAGGATGAGGAGGGAGGTGGAGAGGGAGGTGGTGCGACGAAAGACTCTGGCCTCACAGATGAGGACTCTGCTCGACAATCAGCTGCAGGTTTGCATTACATTACATTCTTATCTGTAGATCTCCTATTTTACCATTATGAAAATGAAGAATATCCTGGTTTCCTTCTGAAAATGAATACATTTATTGTAATTACAGGGAAAGATAAAAAATAAAGAGATGGTGAAGAAGGTTATTTATGTGTTCTAGATTTTGAAGAGAACAATCTTTCTTTGGTTGCAATTAACAATTACTTTCATTGTTGATATAATTATTTTCATCATCATCAACTGATTATTTGTTTTGTCTACAGAATGTGGTGAAAATTTCCTAAAGCCAAAAATGATGTCATTGCTTGTTTTGTTCAAGCAACAGTCCAAAACCCAAAAATTCAGTTTCCTTTCACATAAGGAAGAAAAGCTGCAAAACTCTGGAATTAGAAAATGTTTAGAATTTTTGCTTGAAAAGAGACCAAAACGACTAATTGTTTCAGCTCTAGATCTTTCTGTTAACTGTGTAAGTATGTTACATTTGATATGACTGTTTTGCTGGTTTCTCCAGGTTCTGAGGCGAGAGCAGCAGGCCCAGCAGAGGGTCTACAGCAGGTTCTCAGCTCAGCTCAGAGAGTGCACCAGGCTACTGTCCAAGTGTTATAGCAACAAACATCCATCCACACCATCCTGCGTACTACACCCGCAAAGGTAAAGCTTCCATTTCTCCTTTGCAAAGTGTCACGAACAACAAGTAGAACAAAACTAAATCCTTGTACATCTTAAATTCTTCTGTTGTTTTGCATCTTCAGGCTAACATCCCTGGTGGATGAGATGGGAGAGCTGGTGTCAGCAGAGTGCCAGCGTCAGGGGGCCTGGGGTTTGTTGGGTGAGGGTACAGGGGCCTTGCTGCTCTGCCCTGATACTGGAACTGTGCTGACCAAGGACCACATCTTTGGTGAGGCCAACACCCCTGAGTTAGATTAATTGAATATACCAAAATTCTCTTCTGTTTTTTAATCTTAGAGAAACAACACCATCTATAGTTAGAAAAGCTTCACTGCAACAACAAGATGGCCTAAGGTTAAAAAACGTTACATAACCTACAGATAATGATAAAGCATGTTGAATCACACATTTCTATACTGACAATATACAAATAGATATATCTACACTTTCCCAGCATTACGCCTCACCCATACATGAAAATAACATTAAAATCTAATCGTAGAGGTCATGTGAGATGTCCTAATTACAAGATACAAGTTACTAGTTTTCTCAAATTCTAAGTACAGTAAAATAATTTTTTTCCAATAACAGTTATCTCATAAAATGGAATGTAGGCATTTTGAAGAAAGATCCCACCAGTTAGAGGGTTAGATGTGTACCAAAATCATAAAGAATCATGATTTCTTGGTTGACTTAAGCTTTTAGACTACAGCATCTGACTGTACTCATATTCAAAACAACTTAATATTTATAGATGATGATTACTCTCAGCCATTTCTACTTCTGCCTCTCTCTAGGTCCTGATGGGTCCCTGCGTGTCTGCCAGGCACTTCATTATGATTCAGTCACAGGCCTCATAAGGCCAAATGCTCACAGCCATATGCTGCTGAGCAGCGGCCACATGATGGCAGTGCCGCCTGATTTCTTCCTCCACCCACAGACTGGCAGGGTTATGCCCATAGCTGGCAACGTAGCTTATGATCCTGCAAGCTCTACTTTAGTTTTCACAACTGACTCATCTACAGGTAATATGCTTGTGGGATTTGGGGGATGGCCAAGCATTCAATCATTGATGCAAAATATTGGTGATGTACTTTGCACTGTGGATCACTGATCAAATACACATGATATAACATTACATTTACGTGTTTCTAATGCAGCTGAAATGGAGTTTGATGGCGGCTGTTATTTCAACCATCTAAATTTTCAAACAACATACAAGGCTTTGTTGTCTAGCCTTGTAAAGTCACAGCTCATTAGCTTCTTTCATGATTTCTTTGTGGCCTAAGATGTAGGTAGTTTTCTTTTTTTGCACAAGGTATGACTCTTTTTTGCTTAATACTTCTTGAAATTGTTATATGCTTACAAAATTGGGGCAAAAAACATGAAGGTGATGTACTGGCCAGAGGTTTAGGACGTGCATCTAGGGAAAGTGAATACTGTCAGATTACAGTTAACAAAAAATATTTATTTCATCTCTGTTTTCAATTTAGCTACATCTTGAATCTATATTTATACAATCTGGTAATAAATACAGCATGATCACCTTCTTGGTGGGAGTTCAGACATTAACAAATGAGATGAATAAAATACTATCATACCCATTCTCTGTGGTTTACTGAAAGGTATTAGCAAAAGTGTACAAAATCAATAACTGAAGAAGATAGATAATGCATATCAAACAAAATAACTTTGGGTGTACATATTTTTTAACAGACTAATCTGTGCTATTCTTACACTCAGGAGACAACAGGAAGTGGGACAGTCCGCTCCTTCCATTTATTCCTTACCCAATCTCCCGCCACTCAAATCAGCCTTTGCCTAGCTCTCGGCTCAGAGGCCTCAGACCGGGCCAGAGGCTGCAGCTGGGTGTCCCTATGGCAGACCCAGAAACAGGGGTCCCAGTGCCTATTCTGGCTGTAACCATCCACCCCCAGACAGGACTAGTCTACCCACTGGGAGGAGTGCATGTCTGTCCTCTCACCCACTTGCCACAGCCCATACAGACTGGCTATCCAATGCTGGACTCCAGGACTGGGAGTGTTGTGCTCACTGTTGGAGTCAGTCTAGATCCAGTAACAGGTTAGTGCTGCTGGTGGGGCTTCAGTACCACCTGTGTCGAGATTACTGTACCTTCATTGAGTTTTGTTCTTTGTGTAGGAGGAGTGCTTCCTGTAGGTGGAGTTCTACTGGCCGAGTCCTTCACCGAACCCCTGAGTGGGCGGAAAGTGAAAGTAGGAGGGGCCAGCATGAGGGCCGGGCAACTGCTGCCTAATGCAGGAGGATATCAGGCTCTTCTAGACAGCAAGGTGCTTTATCAGGAGTCGAACATATCCAGAGATAATTTGGGGATTTCAAGACATGATATCTTAATTCTCTTAATCTCACCACAAGGTCCATTTAGGAGCTGTTCTGAGGCTTTTGATTACATCACATAATCTTTAACAAGACATGGAGTTTCCCAGTTGTCATGAAATTGTACATTTTTAAGTGTGTGTGAGCAGTGCATCCATGTGGTGTTGGAATAATCTGAATCTTTTTTTCCTCCTTAAATCTTTATTGCAGAGAAATAAAGTGTACATGGGACATAAAGAAGTATATAGAAACAGAAGTCTGATTCATGCAAAATCATGTATTGCATATACATAATTTGCAAACATACGTACATGCTAACTGTTAATTTGTAAAACTTAGTTTGCTGGTGTAGACTGAGCTAGATATATGCGTGTTGTTTATATGCTCTGATAATGCTAATCTAACACATTTTTGTAGTAATGTCCATGTCCATGATTCCACATTCTGACTTAAGAACACATGAACACACTGAAGTTGGAAGAACGGCTTTACAGCTTGGGAAATGGGACCATCGGAGGACCATGTGAATGCACTGTGAACTGCTGGTTGCAATTCACAACCCTCACCACTAGATGCCACTAAAACTAACACACTGAACCTTTAAAGTCTGAGATTCAAAGTTAATTCATGACCTTGAAATGAATGACCTTTATTAAACGTTTTTGTAGATGTACATGTTGAGAGACAGATAATAAATTAATTCATCAGATGTTTGGCCAAATATTATTATATATTACCTAAGCGAAAATAAAATGTTTTTTTAGGTTCTGGCTGTGATGTTCAAAGTATTGGAGCTCATGAAGCCACTAACTGAGGAGTGGGGGTCCGACCAAACTTTGCAGCACCATCAGTGCAGTGAGAGAGGGAGTGGTCAACAAGATCATCTTCTTGCTGCAGCCAAGGAGCTCCAGCAGGCCAGGGGAAGGAGCCTGTACTGCCAGCTGCAGCTGCAGACCAGGTTTGAGATCCTGCTGGACTGGTCAGCGGAACTTCAGCAGGATGGAGGGATTCTGGGTGAGGAAATGCCAATGATGGATGCATGGATTTGACTAGTTACTGGGCAATACATCACAAACTCACTGTAGTGGCTAAGTCTACACTTAAGCTACTGAGGGTTGCATAGACAGGCATCTTATTATCACGCTTGCCCAGCCACTATACCCTACCTGTGTCTTATGAAATAAAGTAATTTCAGGGATCTCAAGCCTCACACATTCACCGTGAGACCAGGGCCGTCCCTGGCAGTGTTGGAACCCAAGGCGATATTTGAAATTTGCCACACCCAGATAGTATTTTCTTGCATTTTAGTAAATTTATGGGGGTAATTTTCCTGAAATGCAAGAGCATTGGTTTATTTTAAACGGAGAGGACAAATAAAGAGGGGGGTCTGGGGGTTCTCCTCCAGAAAATATTGAGCATTAAATACTTAATTTCCTGCATTCTGGTGAATATTTCTGCACCAATTTATTATTATTATAAATTATCTATATAAAGCTAAACACAATATTCAGGCGGTATGTGACAACTCAAAATATTAAAATTTAATAGAATCTAATGCAGTAAGGCTTTCAGACATTCTGCAACTATTTAAATATGTTTTCTCCTGTAGATCAATTTTTCTAATTTAATGAAACCCCTGCTGAGTCAGTAAACATGCTGAGCCTTCCCTCCTCTTTGAGACTTTGTTTGGGGAAATAACCTCTTTTAATAAATTATGTAATTTTAATTCAGTTAGAAACTCCTGGACTTTAATTAATAGCTCCTGTGTTTCAGCAGGTTTTCTGCTCATGTTCAAAACTTTCTGCACATTCAGAATATCTCCCATAGTGTTCTCTGACATGTCCAGAAATTTTTTTGCAATATTACAAGACTAACATCATCATTTAATGAGAATTCATTATGCCCTCTACTCTGCTGTGCATTACGTTACTGATCCGCTGGTATATAGGCTATCCCCTTTGACCATTTGACTGCATGCTGCATGTGAAAACAAGACTGAAAGACAGAAATCTCGCCATAAATCCACACCTTGACTTCAGCAATTTCTATTTGTGCTGATCAATTAGGAACAATAGGTCAAATTTAACTGCTAGCAAAAACTTGAGAGAATTGAGTGGGGCTGAGGGGCCGCTGCTGCAAATATCTGAATGGCTCCTCCTCTAACAGATGTAATCTCACTCCAAACTTTTGATAAAACTTGAGAGCCCTGGTTATTTGCTCTTGCCGTTTTTGTTTAAATTTATGGTTTACAGATGATGGTCTTCAGGTAAATACAATAATCCATAATGCAGTCATTTTCTCATTTAACACTGTGCAGCTCGCCCAGAGCAGCGTGCCAAACGAAGTCATCAAAAAACTATAGGTGCTCCACTTTGTCCAGCAACACCTGTTCCTGCTTAAACTAACTTTGACACAAAGCAGACAGGTGCCACCTACTGGCCCACTAGAGTCTTGCACCCAACACAAAAAACCATATGTGACTCTTATGTACACTTACTTTTTAAATGTTTCCTCCCTCAGCTTTCTTTGTTGATATGGTCCTCTCCTACTCCTTCCTTTGTTGCTGTAAATAAGCTGCTCTTTTTTCTGTACCTTTTGTGGTGTTTGTCCTCCACTTTGCTGAAAATTTGCTAGTGTTTAGGAATTATCCTAAAAGAAAAACACATACTAGGATTTCTCCTTTAAACTTTGCATTTTAATCTCTGCTTGCCATCACGTCCACAAATCTGCTAAAAAATATGCAGTATAGGCCTATCACTTTGTTTTAGCAAATCTGCTCCTTCTTTACACCTTTATTGTGATATGTGAATAGAAATCCATATATACAGGTGAAACTCGAAAAATTAGCATATCGTGCAAAAGTTCATTTATTTCAGTAACTCAACTTAAAAGGTGAAACTAATATATTATATAGACTCATTACATGCAAAGTGAGATATTTCAAGCCTTTATTTGATATAATTTCGATGATTATGGCTTACAGCTTATGAAAAAATTCAAAATCTCAGAAAACTTGAATATTGTGAAGAGGTTCAGTATTGTAGGCTCAAAGTGTCACACTCTAATCAGCTAATTAATCCAAAACACCTGCAAAGGGTTCCTGAGCCTTTAATTGGTCTCTCAGTCTGGTTCAGTGGAATTCACAATCATGGGGAAGACTGCTGACCTGACAGTTGTGCCGAAAACCATCATTAACACCCTCCACAAGGAGGGAAAGCCTCAAAAGGTAATTGCAAAAGAAGTTGGATGTTCTCAAAGTGCTGTATCAAGGCACATTAATAGAAAGTTAAGTGGAAGGGAAAAGTGTTGAAGAAAAAGGTGCACAAGCAGCAGGGATGAGTGTAGCTTGGAGAGGATTGTCAGGAAAAGTCCATTCAAATGTGTGGGGGAGCTTCACAGGGAGTGGACTGAGGCTGGAGTTACTCCATCAAGAGCCACCACACATAGACGGGTCCTGGACATGGGCTTCAAATGTTGTATTCCTCTTGTCAAGCCGCTCCTGAACAACAAACAACATCAGAAGTGTCTTACCTGGGCTAAAGGAAAAAAAGAACTGGTCTGTTTCTCAGTGTTCCAAAGTCCTCTTTTCTGATGAGAGCAAATTTTGCATCTCATTTGGAAACCAAGGTCCCAGGAAGAATGGAGAGGCACACAGCTGGGATTGGCTCCAGCCCCCCGCGACCCTGTACGCAGGATAAGCGGTTGACGATGGATGGATGGATTCTAATTTTCTGAGATTTTGAAATTGGGGTTTTCATAAGCTGTACGCAATAATCATCAAAATTATATCAAATAAAGTAAGAAATAAATAAAAGTAAGAGCATTTTTGAGATATAACACTGCACACAGGAAAATATAGAAAAACCTTTTGTCACAGTGTTGTCCTTAAGGGGCTTCTACTGCAGAGGACAAAGAGTTTTTTGTATTTTTTAAGTTTAAAATGAGCCTTTGGAAAGGTTCCTTGAGCCTGAGGAGGATGACATTTTCTTACCTCAAAGACTTTTCCCATGACCTTTATTTGTCACATGCAACCACCCTCCCTAGAAACTAAGCATGTGACCTGCTTGTCCCTCATAACCACATTATAAATGGCACATGTGTTACAGTAACTTATATGAAACCCATAATCATATTCTAGGATAAGGTTAACACAGAACTATTATACCATTTGTATTTCCAACATGGTTGCTAAGAGCTAAAAAAAGAGATGTTAAAGAGGTCATATTATGCTCATTATCAGGTTCATAATTTTATTTAGGAGTTGTAGCAGAACAGGTTTACATGGTTTCATTAAAAAAAAAACCCCCACCATATTTATGTAATACTGCACATTGCAGCAGCACCTTTTTTCAGCCTGTGTTAAACGCTTAGTTTTAGCTTCCAAGTGAAGCCTCTCACTTTGATTTGATCTTTGTTGGGAGTTGCACATGTGCAGTACCTGGGTAAAGACTACTAGCCAATCAGAAGCAGAATAGGCCGGGTCCTGACAAGAGAAGTAGAGTGGTCCAAAACAAAGCGGCTCCAGCTGGTAACCAGCTGTACATGATCCCGAAACATAAGCAGAACAACCTAAACCAGCTTCGCAGCCTAGACTGGAGCAAGGTGTTTCAGAGTGGTAAAGTTTATCGTTCATAGGTAACATTTTAACTGTGCACTGGTATCTAACATTCGGTAGGGGGGGTGAGGGTGAGGGGAGGCAGATGGTGGATGTCTTGTCACTGTGTGTGCTGCTACTCAGTGAGTTTCTCCACCAGTGTTTTTGAGAGCGTGCCACACAAGCTGCTGGGCGAGCATTATGGCGTATGTTACATAGTAATGAAGATAGGTTACGGAGGAAAAGGCTGGACAACAGTCGAGCTGTTTTCAGGCAGTTCAGGAGCAGTGTGTTCTGAGGGAGATGGTAAAGGAAAGGGAAAAAGCCAAAAAGCATAATGTACCTCTTTGAAACATTTAAGTGCCGATTCTGAGTCATCACGCTGCCGTATACAGTACAGTGCAGCAGGCTACCCACAATGCTGTTTGAGAGCTCTGCTTTATGTCATAAAAGTGGCAAGATTAATATAAACTTCACTGGAATTACATTATGTAAATGTGAGTTATTTGCACCGTAGGCATGTTTATATCTTTTCTTAGTTGTGATTCATCAATAATCAGATGTTCAGACTGAAATGTTGTTGCTCTGCTCAAGGCCCTTGCCATATACAGGGTTATCATGTTCTCTGCAGTTTTTTCACATTGCAACTCTGCTGTGGCTAATTTCAGCTGCTGTGGTTGTATGCTCATGTGTGCTCTGCTTGATAACCCGCTTAAGTTTGGCATCTTATAGTGTTTAACATGCTTTGCCAATTGCCAGATGTGCCATGCAGTTGAAATCCTGTTTCATGTACCTCACCCTGTCTTTGTTTATGTTTGCATTAATTTAGTTTAGAGGTTGTTTGATCTTAGCCAAAAGCAACACTATTAAACAGTGTTAGCTCATGTTGGCACTAAAGTAAAGTGAATGTAAAAACAGTCAGTTTGTTCTAAACTGGTCAGAATAGTCTTGTCAACCTAATTCTGTTCTTCTCTAACTTGCTAGAAATGCGTTTGACATGCAGGGATACTATGCAGAGAAATAAATACCGTATCATATTTGGTTTTCCCTTGTTTAACCCTCGGACTGCCACTGTTGTCTTCATACCAGGAGAGGTGCCTCTCTCAGGTTCAGACATGTGTGTGCCAGCTCTGCTGGGGATGGAGTACCCTGACCCCATGGGATCTGGTCTTAGTGTACCTGTACTCGGGCGTGAGACTGACCTTGTCTCTGGGATTATAATACCATTGGCAGGGACCATGGAGGATCCCGAAGGAAAAGGTACAGTAAGAAATAAGCTATTTCAAAGGTTGTTAATCTGAAGCAATTTTTCTAAACAACTTTCAATTTATATTGAACAACACAGAGTAAAATGACAAGGGAGGTTAAACTCAAGGACAGTTGCCCTTGACTTTAACCTTCCTTGGATAACTATGACCTGGAAGACTGAAAATCTACACAGACATCTTGTACCCTTTTCTGTGTCTGTGTTGTTGCACTTCCCAGGCCTAGTGGCCATCCGTTATGGATCTCAGACTGTTGACCCAGTGACAGGGGTGTTGGCCCCGGTGGTTGGAGCCAGGCTGGATGTGTCCAGAAAAAACGTTGTACCTATCACAGCTTCCTATTGGCTAACTGTGGCGGATCAAACTGATAGTGTGCAGGTGAGGAGGTAATTGAGAGACATGTTTCCTTAAATGATAAAACACAATAAACCTTTAATGTAACCATACCTTTTATTTTACAGCCTAATTAATTCAGCAGGAGGGAATTTTGATAAGTTATTTTATAAGTCTTTATGTGTTTAACCTCCAGCCTTCCATTTTGCAGCCCAGTGAATTTACTGAGACTGAGTTTGAATTGATGTGCTTTATTTGTTTTTGCTGCTATTGTATGCCAGGTAGAGGCACTGCAGAGAGAGGTGTGTGTGCGAAACACTCACTGGCAGCAGCAGAAGCAGCGGGAGGAAGATATTCTCTCCGATCTGGACTCAGCTCTGTACCAGTGTCTCTTTAGAGTCACAGAAGTGAACTCTTATCGGGTCAGCAAGATTTTGCTGTTTTTTGTTTGCTGTTTTTATTTTGTATTTCAAAATATCTTAAATAACATGGTCTCTATGTATAGGAGAAATTCAAAAGGGTTCCAGCCTTTTGAACATGTGGAAGGAGTAAGGAGTTATTTGAATACTGGGGCAAACTGCATCGGAGAGTATTTCTATAGAATCTATTCATTCACACTGCTAGCAAGCAAGTTGGTGGTTAGGTTTTTTGTTTGCGCAACTAAGAATTAGGACAAAGTCACTCTATCTGTGTGTATGAATGTGTGCATGTGTGCTCCCATGCCTTTGTTCTTTAAATTGATCTTTTTGTGTGTCAGTTTTCAAATATGTGCCTCCACTTTTCGTGTTCCAATACTCTTTGTACATGTACTCTGCTGCAGGTCCAGTGGTCCGGGAAGCAGCTGAGGGAAGCAGCCATAGAGCTGCAGGATTCAGCGCAGACCGAGGCCCAGAGGAGAGCATCTCAGCGCTACCACTTGGCTCTGGTCTTGCCTCCACATGTATTACACATCCTCACACTGGGTAAATTGAATGGCAAACTGTCAGAATGAAGAGCATGAAGGAAATTACACTCATGACCTGCACTGTGTTCATATTCATTGCTTTCCAAAAGAGAGATACTTCATGCCAGCGTCCCATATCGCACCCTTCAGTTGTAGAGCAATTAACATAATTTCAGTGTACAATGCTTTATTTGGGTTGGCAGGCACATCTTTGTGCATCTCTGTCTTTGTGCATAGGTGACGAGGAGGAGTGGGATCAGCAGTGTGTCTGGCACTCAGAGCTCGTGTCAGGACTTGATAAGGTGGAAGTGTGTATAGAGCAGCTGCAGCAAGACCAAGAAAAATGGACAACACATGGGGGAGACTGGACTACAACCCTCCATGCTATGGTCAGACTAATGGCTTTATGGTCTGGTTCTTGGCCCTGCATCTTAATTGGTGACTGACACAGTTAGGCTTAATGTTCACTTCCTCTCTCAGTCCACCCATGCCAAATGTAGATGACTCATGATACAATAGGGAGCTTTGAAAAGTCTGGTAATTGAACTTTGATGTCTGCGCTGTGCTGTAAGATCCACTCTGTAACATTGTCGTCTAAATGTAAATAAGACTGTGTGATTCCTGTTGCAAGAGCCTGTGTTTATTCACCCTCCAGGACAGGGAGCTGAGACATAGAGAGTTGTGGGAGCAGTGTTGTTGCAGGCAGACAGAGTTGGAGGCTGCCCTTAATGTGCTTCACTTTGTCAGACACCTCTCTCAGCTCCGCGCCATCACGGCTCAGGTCAAAACACACACAGGCACACTACATAAATAACAGTGAATACAAAGAAACCTAAATATATATGATGCAGCAAAGTTGTCTTTTTCATCATTGACTCTGCCGCCGTCAAGTTTGTTTAAACCTGAGATGCAACCATCAAAGCAAATAGTGCTTAATTAGATAATTATAGAGGATTATCAAGAAGTTGAGAAATACGTGTTTTGGTTATTTCTTCCAGTGTTATTCTGAGTAACCTCTCTCTTCTTGTTGTCTAGGCAGTACTGAGTGGGAACTTTTGGTACAAGGAATATGGTCTGGTCCAGTGTAGTGGGCATAGACCGACTGTGAAGGTCATGGATTTGCTACAACAGAAGGCTTTGCCTCTGCTGGAGAGACTGAACCAGCTCCTGGACAAACTGCCTACCAGCTTCTCTCCCAACACCTGCAATCAGCACATATCTGGTACCAGATAGGGGTGGGGCACTAATACATGATAGCTATACAGCACAGCGGTGGAGAAAGCACAATTCCTCCTTGAACAATGGCATTATCTGGTAGCTATACAAATTTTTTGCTTCTCTCTGCACATTTGGTGCTTCAGTGAGTATTTACAGCAGCAATGTATGTGGGATTAACTCTTACAAACGACAGCACCCATGTTCATTGTAATGAAGGAATATAGGACCCAGTTTTCAATATTTTTTTGAGAGAATTACGGTACAACTGGTATTGACGAAACAGACAATACTTGTTAGTAGCATCAACTCAATGTTGGTTTGAGTCTCTTCATTTGATTTGTTAACAATAAGTGTAAATAAAGAATATTGCCAGGGCTTATCCTTTAAATTCTGAAATGTTTCAGGTTTGTCAACAAAGCAGGCATATGGGATGGAAATAGCCTCCAGAGTCTGGACAGCATCTGTGCCTGTGGTGAAAGGTATGTGCTTTTCAAGCCACTCCAGAATTGTGGCAACATGTCTTTATGTGTGTGTAGAAAGAGTTTGTGTACACAGAATGCATAGTCATATTGTGGAGTATGTTCATTGTTAAAATGCAGCAGGATAGAGCAGTAACAAGGGAATTAACCACTGTGTTGGTACAATATAGTGTACAACAATAGCTCCAGGGTGTTATTCTGCTTCTGTCTTGGGAGATTAGAGATCAGTGAAAAATCAGATGATTATTACAGTATGTGTCATAGCTTGTATATATACAGCGTAGAGCAGGTACGTAAACCACTAGGATATCTTTTACAATATGAAAACATACATAGTTCATGTTTCTATTAAACTAGCCCCCTAAAGTAAAGTGGCTCAAAATAATGTGTCTTGGGTCTGTGGAGAATTTACATTACAAAACAAAGCCTCACAGCTGCTTGGGGAGATAGTTTGACTTTTTCACATGGATTGGCTGGGACTATGGTTTGCAGTGTTTCAAAGGTCTCTGACAGTTTGTATTTCTGAAGGAATCTCCACCCAGTCTTTGAGGGAGCCTGTCAATTTAGCTCAATCCCAGGACACGGGTCTGCAGGCCAGCTCAGCACCGACACACAACTCACAAAGACACACCGCATCCTCCGCCATTCACTCCCAGGGTGAGACGAAGCACATATTATACAGTTTTATTGAATGTAAGACCCCTTTCTGCGCTTCCTGCGCTGTGCTGTGTGTGTGAGTGAGCTAAACTCAGAGACGCGCAAAGATACATCAAAATGTATTTTAAAATAAGATACCATATCTACCCTAATTTTAAGTGTATTAAATAAATAAACTACAAAATACAGCGGCCCCACCATGTGTCAAAATAACGTACTGTATTTTGGATTGTACTACTTTTCCAAGGTGCTATGAAGTCACTTCACAAACCTATCTATCAGCCAATCTGATCTATCCCTTCACTGACTCAGTTGATTAAGTGGACAATGTTTGAGAGAAATAGCTTTTCTCTGCCTCTGAGTCATGTGCTAAATCTGACATATGCAACCACTTAACATATCAAATAATGACATATCCCTGCGATCACCCAGATGAAGGTTAGTTTTAAAGTTACCAACAGTTCAATGTTTAACAGTTTGCTAATGACTCACAATTGAATCCTAACTTTGTTATTTGGTGTTTGGTAATGAAGGGCCTACTTTGCATCATATGGGCAAACAGACACGAGTGGTGGATGGGTCGACAACTTGCTGTTTAATGGCATTGCAGCACAGTGTTGACAATGACAATAAGGCACAGGTGTGAACATTTAACAAGTCACACTGTTGCATAAAGTAATGTTGTACAACAACTTTGAAATGCTTTATTGTTATTTTTTGTGCACAACCGATGAAAACTTTACTCAAACTGAAAGTAGCAAGCTAACGTTAACTGTGAGGGCTGGTACATTGTAAATTGGTAAATGATTTAGCCTAGGCTACTAAAACAAACACCAAAACTTAACAGGAACTCTGGAAGAATGTCTGTAAGAATTGTGGCAATTTATGCTAAAGGTCTATGGAAACCTGCACATTTCTCAGCTGGATCCTCTTCTTCAGGTTTGGATCAGTATTTTATGTTCTGATTTCATCAAGACTGGGAAAATTACTGAGTAGGCACAAATCAGAGGCAGCCTTTTTATGATGTCATCACGGAGAGTTCTCACAACAAATTTTACAGTATTTTTAAACTACAAAATACAATGCAAGTTTTTTGACACAAATTATGAATCAACCCTATTGTTTTGGATTCCTCGTACACTTGCTTTCCCAATTTACATAAAGAATACATTTTTACTTAAGACAGAAAATAACTTTTTTGGCATTTTGTCATAATCCCCTGACCCTTAAAGGCCAACGGTTTTGCTTCTTTTTCTCAGTGAATACAGAAATCAAATTGCGTAATTTACTAAAACCTCTCCTTTCTGATTATCTAACATCTTTTAAGATCTAGTATATTTAACCACATAACTGAATACAGAATCATATATGGCTTTTATAAATGATTAATTTGTCACATTAGTCAAATTAATAATTGTCAATTTAGTCACAATCACATTATGCCTGATGACACATGCACACCTACTGTACTTCTTCTTCTTGGCTAGCACCATGAAATTTAGTTCTGTCACGGTCACAGAAGGTTAACACATTCCTTTTTCTGAGCGGTTTCCCATGGAAACATCATTGTTCAGTTTGTTTTCAGTTACTTCACTTTTGAAGGCCACATTTTCTGTGCCTAGTTAGACACTTTCCCACGCTGTGATATTTAGATGATTTCTTTTTTTTCAAAATTTTGACCTGACCTGACCTGACCTTGCTTTACCACACTATCAAATACAAATTAAAAAGTCCTATTTTATAAAATACTGCCGATTCCTGGCTACACTATATGATGTACCTATTGTACATTCTCTAACGGATTCTGGTAATAGACTTCTGGGATAAGACACAAAGATATTCACACATCAATACATGAAAATATAGGGAATTTAGGTGCTGCCTCACCAATACTATATAGTCCACATATCTTTTTTTACTCTTAGGTTTTTGTGTGGCATATTGCTAAGCAATAAGGCCAATTCCCAAAATGTCAAATAATTCCCCTGATAATAATGAGTCATTTTAATCTTGATTTCCTAACAGAGAACCAGCCGATGAAAGAGTTTGCTCAGCTGACGCATATCTCTGTCCCAACGGTTCCAGGTAACATCATGGTGAAAAATAATACATAGTTAGAAAGTGTGCCACGTGGTGTGTCACATTAACTTTTTAAATCCATGTTGCTTTTATTCTCCAGAAGAGGAGTGGAACAACCTGCTGGAGCTCTCTCCTCTGTTCCAGCTGTTGAAGGGGGTGGAGCGGCAACTGAAGGGCTGGGCCTGTGGGGCAGGGATTCTTAGAGGAGAGTTTGCTGGTAGGTCAGATTCAGTTGGGGCTGCCTATTTTTGACTGATTAATGGGCCTACAGGCATCAACTGTATGCAGAAATTCACATATATTCGTGCACACACATACAACACCTGTCGACAGCATAATCATCAGATATTCATAGACAATCAAGCATCTTCCCAAATCAACCCTACCTGGAGAAAACTTGAATATAGGCTTGATTTCTTGTATTTTTTAAAATATATTTATGAATACCGAATAAGGGTCCCGTTATGAAGTTTTGTGAAAAGGGCAGATTACAGATTGGCAGATTGTTTTCTCAGCCGTTCTTATTTTCTTGTTCTCCAAAGCCTTGATAAAGGCCAGATGGTATTCTTTGAACCTCAAGTGTTGCGGCATGTTAGTTTGTTAGGCTTCAGGGACTTGATTTAATGTCTTTCAGGTGCTGCCGAAAAATGTGGCAAAAATAGATCCTGGTGTAACTATCAAGAAACAGCATTTTGTCTCTAGGGTGGCAGTGTCTGTCTGTCTGCCCACCACTTTGATGCAGACTGAAATATCTCAACAAATACTGGATGAATTGCTTTGACATTTTGTCCAGACATTCACAGTCCTCAGAGGATGCAGCCTACTGACTTTGGTGATCCCCTGACTTTTACTCTTATGCCAACTTCAAATTGACATTTGTGGTTTTAAGTGAAATGTCTTGACAACGTTTGGATGGATTTTTGTGGAATTTGGTACAAACATTCATGTTCAGAATTCACAAACGTGTGGTCAAGCACGGTTCTGCATCAAGTGTGTTTCTACATGAATCATATGTTTCATTAGAAATTCAAATTTCGGCAAAAGATGACGAGTTTGCAGCAATGACAGTAGGGTAAGTAATGGCCTGTAGATCCTGGTTGTGTTCTGTGTTTTTTCCAGACAGAGGCAAAGGTTTCGTAGATGTCCTTGATGCTCAGTGGGAATGTGAAGGAGAGCTGATCCCTCTGGATCTGTCAGTTCTTAACCCCAGAGAGTTCCTGGTCTACCAGCATGGACTATTCCTAATGCATACATTACATAATCTAAAACTGGTTGGTGCTGAACTTTCACTCTTCCTTTCAACCTTGCTGCCTATTCATTTTTTATTGCTTTTACTTTTTCATTTTGACGCTTTGAGTGGCCTGGCCCCAAGCTATTGATTTAAATTTCTTATGAGCCACTGTGCCGCCTGAAGTGCTCAGGCAAGAAAACCTTCCAGCAATCCATATTTCCTAGTTAAAGACCAAAGGTGTCTTGGCTTTGGCTTGAGAGCTCTGGGGCTTTAAACGGCACTTTATTTATTTGTCTTCTTTGTTTCTTTAATACCTAGGTATATCAGTCGAGCTGGGCTGAGCTACACCAAAATGCTTGAATTGTTGTTCTTTTTTCCAACAGACTCCAGACATTTCACTTCAGATAGCAGCTAGTCTCCCAAACAACAACTACTCTAACAATGCCTTCAGAAATTCCTTCTTTTATCAGGTAAAGTTAGATCTTTGATGTGAAAGTGTAATTTAATACTTCCAGTACCAGTACAATTGCTCAATAGTGTGTGTTCAAGATACTGCACATCTACAGTATCTTGACGATGCCACAACACACACTGTTTATACAGTATTTTAGGATATTTGTAAAGTCAAAAATAATGCACCTACATTGAGACCGATAAAATAGACAATGATTATTGAATGAAACCCCCAAAACATCTTGGATTGAGCGTAAATGGCTGTAAAAGTCCAGTATCACAGAATGTTTGAAGGTGACATGTTGCCTGGTTGTACTTCCAGTTGGTTGTGTGAAAGTAAATAGAGTAAATAGAGTGTCTGCAGTGTTCACTGTAACATACTGAGGTAAGTAGATAAGATCATCTAAAACACAAGCAAGCTGTAGAGATAAGTTTTAGCAGTATCTGGAAGCTCAAGTATCAAAGCACTTCACACACTGAAGCTGCAGGTTGCCTGAAGATTAGTTCTGTCCTGTAAACATGCTGTCCACAGATAACAGTGCCCTTCAAAGATCTGTCACGGTTTGAACCAGCTCTGTAAAAGTTGTGAAAAAGTTCCGGTTCAATATCCATATTTTCCCTTTTTTGTTTTAGGATTTCATTTTCTCTGCTGAAACAGGATTGTGTACAGGATGGTATGCAGGTGCTGGCACACTCAGATTTCATAGTCATAATGTATTATATTGATAGCCTACAAGTGGGTTTATAAATATAACTACGGGTTAAGTGTCTTGCTCAGGGACACAGTGGTAGATGGGTCACAGTGGGGAATTGAATCCGGGTCTCTCACACCAAAGGCATGTGTATTATCACCACCCCAAACTGTATCATCAGCTTATAAAATACAATACATAGTTTTAAATGGTAAAATGCATTGTTTAGATTAGCTCCACCACAATACAACATTAAAATGCTGTTTACATGTTAATACATCAGTTATGATAATCCAATATTATGACATACTATAATAAAAGTGTTTATTATTATTACATTCTGCTTTCCAATGAGTACTGAAACATTTTTTATAATATAATTGTATTATTTTGCTGTTAATACTTTCAGTTGGGGTACATTTTGAATGCAGGAGTATTTTGTTGTTTTCCTACTTTTACTTAAGTAAAGGATGTGAATACTTCTTCCACCAAGGAATACTACCATTATAATTGTAAATGAGACTCTCTCTGACAATTTTGAGTGATGAAAGAGGATCAATACTTACAACAAAATCAAAAATACTGGAGGGAAAACTGGTAAAGGAGACAATGACACAACAGTATTATAGTAGATAATAATTCTAGTGACCAACAGCACCTCCCTCTGCACTCTGACTAAACTTTCTTAGTACCAGAATTTACAGCAAAACAGCTCAGACAACAACCATCTGCTGTTTAAATCTTTTTGGAGCCTTCACTAATGCTGAAGGGGCATTCAGTGGATAGTCCCGCCAGTGAAAGGCTTTATAGAACATCGTGCTCAGCCCTACTGGTCTGTGGACACAAAACACTCCCCCCCGCATGGCCTCAGGGTTATAAAGTTTGTTTCTGGGTTAGGCTTTTTCTGTTTCAGATTCCTTTAGAGTTCAGAGAGATTCAAACTTTTGTAATATTTAAAGTATACTGTATCCTTATTTCCAGTGGTGGCATAAGATTTTATACTGCAATAAATGTATCAGTGTACACCAAAAACACCTGTTACAAGTAAAATTCAAATCTTACTTAAGTAGAACTATACAAGTCTAATGTCAACAACTTTATATAATGCTGGATAGCTTAATCCATACTTACAATTATAATGTATTGTTTATTTTAAATGTTTTAACTTGAATCTGCAAAGTAACTAGTAAGTAATGTTGTCTAATAAATCGTCGTAAAATAAAAAGTATAATATTGGTTTCCAAACTGTATCAAAATATAAATGAGCATAAAATGGAAATAATCAAGTAAAGTACAAATACCTAAAAATTGTACTCAAGAACAGTACTTGTGTACATGTGCTTAATTATATCCCACCACCACCTTTTTCATATCCGCTGCTTATGTAGTATGGCACAAAGATAGGTTTACTCCAGCTTCCATCTAGTGCATTTAAAGAGACACATTTTAATCGATCCTTGCCCTCTTAGTGGCCATTTGTTGTATTTTCTCATTTGTTTATTTCTGTCATAAAACTAAACAGTAAAACGACTCCTTTAATTTCCTTTCAACTGGCAAGACACAACATTTTATTGTTCATGTAATGAAATGCAGCGCCCTGCTTGTTTCTTACCATTGAATTGTGCATGTACTGTATATGTCTTTGTGCAGCTGTAATGTGCTAGTGAAAATAACTCTCATATGCATGTGAATGACTGGTCTGTTGACAGGAGGCAGAGGAGACGCTCTTTGTCCGTCGCCAGAGGCTCCAGTCAGTTGGAGGATTCTCTCTGCTGCTGCTCCACTGTCTGTCCCATATCACAGTCAAAGACATAATCTCTGACTCCAGTCCTGCCTTCCAGAGGCTTTTCTTCAAGGTATAGACAAACACTCACAAGTGTGCATGAATCATAAACAGTTCGGAAAACTGTTACTGGAAACTGTAAGTACATTTTGATTTCAAATTTAGCTTCAAATAAAGTTATGAAATTCATTTGTTTTGTTTTGTTTAATTATCACAGATACTGCAGGCATGTCTAGGGGAGCTGTTTCAGGCCAGACTGGACGTGCCCCCCTCTGCACAGGAAGCCAATTTGTGTGTATGGTTTCAAGACAGTGAGGCCCCTTCAGGGGACTTGAGGGGGACACTGTCAGACTCTTATGCTGCCTCTCTGCTTCACAGGCTTCACAAACCAAGCAGAGCATTGCTGTCTGAAGATGTAAGAATATTTCCTCTTTGATCATTACATAAAGCATTGTTTACATGTTGGTTATTTTACCTTCTTTGGTTGGTTATTTTACCTTCTAGTTCAGATATAAGCACGGTTGTTCAAAATATAATTTGTCAGAATTGTTGTTGAATTGTGAAGAGTTGCAGTATAATAATTGTGAGTAACCATGGCCACCTTGCATGGATCTTGTTGCGTGTCTCTTTTCTATTATGGAGCAGGAAGTTGACGAACTTCAAAGGAAACACAGAGAAACCTCTCTGTTCTCACATCTTGAAGGAATTTTGAGAAAGGAGAGCTCTGAAGCCACAGAGAAAGGCAAAGACCAGATTGGGTAAACATATGTGGAGTCATTTTCCCCTCGATTTTGGTGCATACCAATTTTTTTTTGGTCATCTTTTCCTTATCACTGAACATTATTCATGAAATGATTAAACTCTTAAAATCACTGATCACAAAGAAAATTCTTTTTGGGGTGTTTATTTTTGAAGCATTCCATTGTAAACCAGAAGCAGCTTTTTCCTTATACAAATCACATTTTGGCTTTTACCATCACAAGCAGTGCATTATAACAGAATTCCTGGGATGTGTTAATAGGCACTTATTTGAAAGAGGAACACAGACAAAGACTTGTGCGCACACACATACAGATATCTGTTTCTATTTAGTGGTCCTGCGTGTGGAGGAGGGGAACATTTTTATCGTAACAAAAGCTTAGCTGACATTCTAACAACTCTGCCTGCAAAAACAGGTAACTTTAATGATGTTATTAATACTGAAGGTATTTTACAAGGATGACAATGATGATTAAAATCACTCCACAGACAAGTCCAATAACATTTAGAATCTTGGCTGTCCTTGATGCATCCATGGCTGTCGCTGATTCTCCAACAGCATTAGCATTTTGTGCCTTTAAAAAACAAGTAACAGAATTAGTTTAAATTTGCATGCAATTCAGTTTTGTAAAAACTAATTTATTTACACAGTTGCAATACACTAAAACTGTTTTGATTTCTAGAGTATCTCTTGGAATACAGGAATAGAAAGCAGCAGATACAGACTAAAAAAAGTTTGATGTTCAGGAAAGTTACCTACCCTACAGGAGTAGAAGACAGCGGCAATCCCCAGAGGCAGACAACAGCATAAAGTATTAAAGATGGACCATCCTAGGTAGGTTGGAGTAACAGCAGGGCTCTGGCCTCCTTCCATAGTGGCTCTCTGTCTCACTTGAAGTGGATGGGAGTTATGTGTAGTTGGAAAATGTCTGGATCAAATGGCTGGTGGGGCTTGCAACCCACACCCTTTTATCCTTCATGGGTGTGGTTTAAGGTTAACAGTTATGTCAGCCACCAATGGAGAGAAAAAAGAGATCAACAGAAATGGAGGCTTTTTGGGCATACAGTAGTTGATACTTCAAAATGGAAAGCTCTCAAATAACACATTTTTGAAGACCCTCATATGCAGTTGACTTAGGAGCTTCCTTTGTATCAGTTTATCTCTGAGTTCATTCTGCTTGCATCATTGTTGCGCAACAGTTTGACTTAAGGGCTTTGTCTTCTGTCCTGAATGTAATATGCACACAGAGAACTTTGACGTTTGGTTCAATTCTGCTTTAAATAAGGCTCTACACAGTGGTTGTTTTTCATTAAAGTAGCTGCACTTCTTGCATCTAATTGCTGCGTTACTGTACCGGTCTCCACTTCAGCACCATTCTGCCCCAACATTAAGCATCTTCTGCAGATCTTTTTCACAGTGTGCAAGTAGGATTGGCATCTCATCATAAACATGCATTCTGATTAGGTATGGCGATGCAGTTTGAATTGTAAGTAGGTAATTGGGTCATTCATTCAGCTGCGTTTGTCATCAGTAGTTATGCCACTTGTTTGCTTCTGATAAATACATCAGATACAAGGAGAGAATGATAATCATTTGCAGTGACTATGGCAGTCCTTTTTCCCTAACACATACATTTGCATTCTAATTAAGTTCATTCTTTTCTCAATTGAAGAGCAGAATTTCTCATCGCCATCAAAAGAGATTCCCAGTAGCAATCAAGAATATCATGGTAAATTAGCTGTCTTGTGAAATGAATGTTCAAAATACAGTTTCACAATATGTAGGGAACAGCATGGTATATGCTGTCACATTTTTAACACTGTCTAGCATTTACTGGGCACCATACATCTCAATAACACCATACCAAATGAAGGAAGCACATATTTTGTATTCATTACATCTTGATATGAACTTGTAGACCAGAGGTCACTAATAGGCGGACCGCGGTCCGGATCCGGACCCAGCCGCCGTCCTCTCCGGACCGCCGACCTACAGCCCATTTATTATTGAGACTTACTACCTCGTGACGGAGCGTTTCTATTTTAACCCGCGCAGCTTTTCTAGCATTTACTGTACTGGTTTATAGGACCAGGAAACTCTCAGACCAATCGCATGTGCTCCAATCGTCTCATGTGACGCTGCTCAGCCAATCAAATCTGTGCATACCGATGCTTGCGAGTCGAGTCCGCGAGATTCACCAGAGACGTTTTGGAAACACACCCGAATTGAGGAGACGAAAGATAAAAGAGATTTCACATGACTTTTAATCAAGAATGTACAGATTTTTACATGTACATTCCTCCCACGGGCAGTTCAAAACCAGAATATCTCATAGATCTCCAATATGCTAGCTGGAGCTGACGTTTCTCACTGAACAACAGAAAGTAGGAAAGTGGTAGCTCTGTAAGAGGAAATGAAAGAGAAGAGGAGGCATTACAGCTGTTCATTTGTGTGTTTATTATAAAATTGGTTAAGACTACACTTCATCACTTCAAGCTACACTTTTTATTTTTTTTTCTCTAAAAATTAGGCACTTTAATTTAGTTTACTTCAATTTAGAATTTATTATTTGAATAGTTATTATTTATTATCCTTCCAGTTTGATGTGAAAACTGACTGAAATATTATTTGATTTGACAGTCCGTTGTTGACTAAAAACATGTGTTGATACAACTATAGGTTATAGTACTGAATGATGACGCAAGTTCGTCGTTTTGATGTTCCGGACCTTTGCTTCAGGAAATTTTCTCTAACTGGACCTCTTTGAAATCTAATTGAATACCCCTGTTGTAGACTGTTGAATACAGGGTGTGCACTTTGACAATTTGCGCCATCAGTAGGTAATTTGTCACACTGGAATGTCAAAAAAAGAACACAATTGCTACAACTGTAAAAAATGTCAGTAAAAAAGCCAATGTGAACAGTGAGGTGGGAATGACAGCATAATTATACCATTTTCTTTGGAATAATTGAGTCCATCAATAGACAGATGACACTAGTGGTTCTCCAAAAGGAGGAAACAAGGCTTCTCCTTCAAAGCACTTTGCATGTTCACTGAAATGCTTCAGGAAGTCAACAAAGAACATATCTTTCATCCATCCAGAGTGATTTGCTTGGCTGTCTAACTTTCGGTTTCTTCTCTGGTAGTCTTTTGACAGTACAGAGTCAGAATATGGAAGTTTATGTCAAAATCCTTCGCTGAACTTCTGATCAACTTGTTCTGCAACAGCTGTCTGACTGCCTTTAACACCATGTGAGGTGGTGAGCTGCCATGCTCTTGTTTTTCTTTGATAATTTTTAACCCTTCAAAAACACATTTTCTCATTGCAATTACAAATAAATTGCAGGCTAATTATCCTGTCTACTACCTTTGTTGCCACAATGCAATTCATAACACCACACTAAATTAATGACTGTATGAAGTAGTGTGTGTGTGTGTGTGTGTGTGTGTGTGTGTCTACTAACACACTACATGCCTACTGTAGTACACAGCATATCCCCACATGGACACACACACTACATCATGAAGTGTCATGAATTCAGTCTTGTGTAGTCGAGGGATATGCCTGCTGCTGTAAACTACACTAGTTATAATATTTACAGTATAATTACTAATTACACAATGTCACAATGTTTTTTATTTTGAGCATGTTCTATGTGTCTGTTTGTACTGAGGCAAGCTGTCACGTGCCTAAGGCTGCAGCTAACGATGATTTTAGTAGTCAAAGCTTCTATAGGTTATTTCATTGATTCATTGATGCTTCGTTTAAGAAGTACTTTTGCTTGGCGCCGCCGCCCCCTACCCCCACCCTGGTAACGGGATCAGCTGTGTACGTTTATAGATGATTGATATTTATTAGTCCTTTCGGAAATTCATACTGTGTCATACAGCAAACAGACAGCTGCTTTACCAACACAAACATCACCTTGTGATTTACAAGTTATATTAAGGTGCAGCTCCCCGACACCCAGTTAACTCATGAGTGTAACGTTACAACCCAAACTCACAGCTCAGGCGGAGAATAACAAATGCACGTGTATACATTTTCAGCTGAGAACTTTGGCTAGTGTTGCGTTTTTTTCAGATTTTGAGAAAGGAGAGGCTGGATCTGATGAAAATTAACAAGAAAATTTAATAAAAAATAGGTGAATAAAAGATGGCATTACAGAACAAACAACAAAACAAAAACACTGCAGTGGACTGGAAAGTTGTTCCTCTTTTCAGATTTACAGCTTACAGTCCTGATTCTCGCAAAATGAACTGTTAATATCCTCCAGGTATGTCTTTTCCTCCAAATGGCCCAGGACCATAGCCATTGGTCGTTTGGTCACTTCTTCGTCACCCAATTAGGAAGGGTGTACCTTACTGCTCTATGTTACTTTTGGTCGAAAAAGAGCGCCAATTCCCAGACGTGAAACCCCCTTCAATCTACAGGAATAAACAGTCTTTTGCTCTAAACTAATCATGGAGAACAACAGGGCTTGTCTACAAAATGGTTGACACCCTATCTTAAGTGTCAATGAAACAGTCAAAAAACTGTCCTTCTGGCACTAAACAAAGAGGTGTCCGTCTTCTTTACATTACAAAGAGGATGCAAACAATGGTTTAATCAACATTCTAATGCAATCGTTTGGCCTAAAATCCTGCAGGTTTACATTTGAAGGAAAGCACTGAAACACTGGAGTACATTAAGTTTGTTGTAACTTTTTAAAACTCAACAATCCCTCCTTTCACACCATTTATTGGTGTGAAATCACTATTAGACTTAGCATATCTACAATTATGTCATTGAAATGTCAGAAGTTGTAAAATCAAATCATGATTTAAGCAAAGAAATCATCTTCCTCTTCTCTGACCTCACTATCTGACTCTTCGTCTTCCATGGGTTGAGCAATCTTCCTGGGTCTTCTAAATCTTTTGTGAAATTTGTACTGTTTGGTGGGATAGAGTTTATTATGTGTGCAGTATTAATGGGCTGAATGGGTTCTGTGGTTGACCTATTTTCTGGAGATGAGACTATAGAATTATTGTTATAACTAGAGAAATGATTACGGCTAAAGTTGATATTGTTCCCTTTATCCCACAAAACTCTAGGTGCCTAAATTTATTCCCTCCCTTGAA